ACACCCACACCCCACCCACACCCCTACCCACACCCACACCCACACCCTGGTGTCTGTCAAAAACATGACTACTATAATCATTATAGGAGAATATTCATTCACAATTTTTCTAATTGAAACTCATCTTTTTTATCTCTCCATTCGATAGCCAAACATTATTTCGTCTATTCGTGTATATTTATTTCACATATTTAAAACTAAAATAATTACAGTTTTATTACAACAAGACTTCATAAATACAGACATATCGATTTTCTCTTTTTTATGATCTTAATGAAAAAAGATATGAAAGTCATCCAGAAGGAGGATTTCTAATGATACAAATATTTATATGGCGTTGTCCGTCTTATGAATAATAAAACGACGTAAAAAACTTTTCACAGTTCCTCTCGTGTGCTTATTCAAAAGAAAAACAGCACGTTTGAGTTTGATGAAAGAAAAAACGCTGAAAGTAAAACATGTTGACAGAAAAAAATGTAGGAAGTGCGATTAATGCAGCTGCAGCATACACCATTCATACATAATGTAAGGTATGCATGGTGTTGCAAGTGCTCCACGTGGTGCCAATAAAAGAATGCAATGAAGGTGCGTTAGTCGCCCTTCCTACTTCTTTTTGTTCTTCATATAATTCACTTTTTGGTTTTTTTTCTTACTGATAAATGCATGCAATTTGACTTTTGTAAATCGTTCGAAATTATATAAAAAATTATTATATTATTTCCGTCCTTCAAATGATGAAACGAAAAATTATGCTCACAAAACCGCTCTTTTCTTCAGACGATTTTTAAGGTATTCACTCTTGAAAATATTTGTTTCAGCTAATTCCGTTTTAGGTAATATAGTATATAAATTTCAATGGCAAACAGCGTTAGTTATGAATATATGAATGAAACATCTATAGATCCCGAGCTTATATGTATCATCTGTAACGCTCCTTACAATGATCCATTGTATACACCATACGACCATACATTCTGTCGTGAATGTATCACAGGATGGATTAATGGTGGAAACTTATCATGTCCCATGTGCCGTCAACATCTGGTTTCTACAAACAGTCTTGTGCAAGCTAATCGCACTGTGCGCAATATGCTGGATCACCTTCTAGTTAAGTGTATCTTATGTGGGAAAACAGAATTACAAAGAGGCAACTTCAATGAACATATGGATAAAGTGTGTACTAAGATACACGTTCTTTGCCCATCAGCAGATATCAGGTGTCCATGGAAGGGACCACGAGAAGAACTGAGCAATCACGTAGCAACATGTGTTTTTCTGCCCTTTCGAACAGTACTAACCGAGATCATTACTGAAAATCGACAACTGAAAGAACAAATGAAACAATTATCTGGTACGTAAATAAAAGAATATTCACATCTGTTTTTATCAAAGTATAGATCAAAACGTTTCATATAGGAACCGTGTTGTGTGCTTAACATTCAGAACGATTTATTTCTAATCGAAACTTCTACAGATTAATATCTCTGAAGCAAACTATTTTCACAGATTTTCTGTGATACCTTCAGAGACAATTCCAAATTATTATTATTACGAGATCTCTAGGATTAGCACACGATGATTTGTATTGATATTTATCAAAGACTTTTTAAAAATGACGACTTACCCTTTTGTATGGCATGATTAAGTCGCAAGTTGTCGAAAACTCCTAGATAATACTACCTAAAGCCTTGTTAAGTTCGAGTATGGAAACAAAATTTGTAAACGATGTAGAGTCAAAATGTATAATTTGTTAATCTCCTATTGTGCTATAATTAATTATACAATAATACACGAAATAATACGATAATGAAACGTAACATCAATAATACTTTAGCGGGCAGCTGTTTTTTTTGCATATGAATCAGACTCAAATATGTAACCAAATAGTCTGAAAGATCTAAAAGTCTTACGATAGGATGTGGTTAATAAGTTGATTTTCAGCATAATATCGACGCCTATTTGTTTGTTATTTTTATAAACAAACAGATCTTATCCTAAACTGCTCTTCAATGGCTGAAATATGGAAACTTATTAAAATAATATCTTTCTTTTCTTCTGGAACATGTGAATTCAATGGAAAAAATGATATTATATAGCATGTTGTTTGAAAATAGCAAACTTGTACAATTTCTTATATTTGTCGAAGTTAAATTGAATTTATTTACTTAATGTTAATTTCTATTTCGAAAACTCTAAACATTGATGAATGCCTAAACTTGCTTAGTATATTCTGATCTTGTTTTTTAAGTATGTTTCACTTAGCATATTTTTATTATAGATATTATCAACACAAAACTAAACAATGACACACCGATGGGCAAAAGTACAACATGTACGAAATGTCGGAACTGCATTTATCTTGCTGGTGATGGTCGTCGTAATCGAGATGGTTTTTATCACGGCATTGCCAACAGTCATTCTTCTTTCAACAATATTGCTATTAGTGTTTATGTTCTTCAAGATCCGTGTAGTTGCGAGTGTCACAGCACTTAATCTGAATTTCTTTTTTGGCTGAATTAATCTCGTTTGATCTTCTTTTAATACTGCATATTTCGTTGTGCTACTGCAGAATATTTCAAAAAGCATGATCGTTTCTAAATTGATTACATGACATCATTCATTATGGTAGCTATCTTGAGGGTGTGAGAATGGAGACAAGAAAATGATCCACATCCTCACGCCTTCACTCTTTCCTTCCTCACAGGAGCACATCCCTCAAGATTCAGCGAAAATGAATTTATTGCTAAGAGCTTTTATCTAATATAGTGTCAAATGAAGTTTTCCCAAAATTTTCATTGGTTGTTACAATTGTTAAATTGTCATCTTCGGATTTCACGATGCTTTGTCAAAGAATTCAATAAATAAGACCGTTCTATTGATATGAGCAATAATACACAATTCAGAGAACAATTTCAAAACAGTTTTTATTTTCTCTAAAATCTTTGCCTATACGATTTATGAGTGATACCCATCTCAATGATCTAAACAAATTGAGGGTGTGGGTGTGGGTGTGAATGTTGTACTCCTCTTCAACCAGCACTCACACCCTTTACATAAGAAAGAAAAAAGAAAATGAAACGAAACGAATACGATAGATGGGCATATAATGTTAAAAGTTTTTTTGTTTTCTTTACTAGTCATTTTATGCCCATAATGGACTATGGATTAGTCTGAGAAAAACAAAGTTTTATCTAAATTTTTCCAAAATCAGAAAAAACATATATAGTCCGTAAATTCATCTTTCTTCCATTTGTTCTATGAACTTTTCTTTCTTTGCTTATCATCTTCGTCATTGCGAAGAGGTGGTGAAAGATAGATAGAAATATGTAGGATTAAGATCTTAACCAACATTATACCATTTAAAATGATGTTCTTTATCAAGTAAAAAGACTTACCGAGTCCATTGGCAATCGTATGCTGAAGTTTATATTGCTCTTTATTCATATTAGAGTTTCCTTTCAACTGCAAATTCTAATTGTTATTACTAGTATTTGATCGTGCCACTGCACACACCCAGATATTCTCTAGTGGAAGTTGTTTAAGTATTTCGTCTTTATAAGCCTTTAAAATTTTCAGAAGTTCACTGCGAATGGGTACTGTATGATATTTTCCTTGGTGTCATTCAGCAGTATTGTGAAAAGCTTTAAGTAGACTACTTACATGATTTTCGTAAAGACATCACTTACAAATTTGACTTCTAAGTAGTACATCGACACAAATCATCTGTTTTTAATTTTAAAATTGCATATAAATGCAAAACTGAGATATTGGTCGAAAGATGTGGGTGTGGGGTAGAGGGAAGACTATATGTAAGTCAACTACCATACACACCCATGCCGATACCCACACCCCACATTTAATGAAAAAAGCTTATGAATAATGATTATTAAATGAATAAAATATATCATATATATTTAGATTATAATGTTCAATTATTGAAGAAAAATGGAAAATGTTTTTTGATTGATAGCTATTGATGGAAAAAAAAATAATCATATTGGCAATGCCGTTGCCCAACCGAGACATGGACGAAGTGCACCTGTCTTTGGATTCTGACCAATACCTAGGAATCCAGCAATGAATTTCATTTTTGTGTCATGACAATTATCATCCAAAATGAAATCTGTTCGAGTTACACTTTCATTAAAATCAGCAAATTCAATATGAGTCATTGGATCCTAAATTTAATCAAAAATAACTAGCTAGAGATCTGCGGTTTTCATCAATCGAATGAGGAGATCGTGGAACGTCTTTTTCTTCAATAATGTGTAAAAGAAAATCTTTTTTAAAACTAATTATTTTTGTAAAACAAGACATGAAAACGACCTGCCATCAAGATGAAATTTTGATTTTGACCTTTGATTTAGATAGAAGGACTTGAATTCTATAATTCAAGATACAATACAAATCGATTCTCTTAT